AATTGCTGTCGACTGAAGTTGAAACGTCATGACCTTTGATCACATGGTTGTTGTAAAGTTCATGTAGGTGCAAGTCGGACAGTTTTTTATCCCCATAATGCATCACACTTTGAAAGGCGTTGGTCACCGACTCGACAAAAGTGATCCACTTGAAAGAGCCCATAAAGAACTGGAGACTGTCCCCGAGATGTCCGACCTTTGTTTTCAACGTAATCTACTCACGTTAGCATACGCCAATTCATGGACCGTCTATATCCGGGTTACATCCGGTTTACAAGGCCCAACTTCACAAGCGCACTAGCACAGGAAGCAGCGTGAGCAGCGACGACGTCATCACGTAATCCAAAAACATGGCAGACATTGGATGCATATAAAATGTTAATGGCCGTGTTCGGGAGCATCAAAACCATGATGTATCATGGGTAAATTGTGAATGACTGATTTATAAATAATAATGAGTCGTTATTTATGATGCAAGGTGATTTGTAGATCAGTCAGTTGTTGGCAGTCGCCTGCACTGTTGGCTGCTATGTCCAACAAGGCCTCTCTGTTCGGGCTGTGAGTGATGGAAAAAAAACATTGGCCTCGGCGACAATTATTTGAATAATTCAATGGATGTTTTGTGCACGAAGGTGATGACTAAAGTGTCTTATTAGGAATTTTCTAATCTGACTTCTCTATGTGGCCGTCTATGGAAATTGTCTTTCTGGGCCGGGCATCAGTTAAACTGTAATGCCGAAGCAAGTCTGTCAGAGCAGTCGAAACTGTGCTTCTAGACCGGAACTCTGGCCCCTTGGTCTCAATTGACTTTATTTCACCTAAAAGGGGGCTGAACTTCCTGATTTGGTCATTAAGAAATGCAGCGTCCATGGTAAAGAAATGAGAGTTGTCTTGGGGGGGTGGTTTAATGTGGGTGTCTCTTGTGTGCGTGTGTTCGCACGTGGCAAGCAGTCTATGGTTTGTACATTCACTCTCCCAAAACAGTACACAGTTACAGTCACCCTTCTAGATAACTTGAAATTGTCTAACCAGGTGTTGTGTCTTGAAGTCGCCTAGGCTAGCTAGTGCTAGCAAACTTCTTTCACGAATTAGCTTCAACCAGCTAGTGTGCAACCATGGCAAGGTTGGTTTGACATTGGATAGCCTATCGCTGGGGGTAATTAGGGAACATCAATAAATTACACAATGTAAATGGGACAATATTTTCATGTTGCACATCTTTTAGTTGTCTCATTAAATGCTTTCAATATTTGTATATGAATTTCTACAATTTATAGTTTGTTTTACGTTTTTATGTCATTGAAATTTGGAGGTATTGTTATTTAAGAATATTGTCCAAAGTACATTGTGTAATTTACTTATGGTCCCTAACTATCATAGGGATATCATCAAATGTCAAACCATGTTGACCATGGGCATTACGATCGGGTAGCGTGCAGAGCTAGAATAAATTACACTAGAATAAATGTTTCTGACTCATATCGATGCCACATAGGCCATTTTCAAAACTAGAAATAGCTTTTTAGAGGTAGTCGCTCCGTTTTCACTTTGATGTTTCCAAAAGTGACCACCAGATGTCAGTCTAATACCAGGGACCCAAAAGGGTGCCAAAAATGTGTTTTCAATGTCATTTTCTGGGCATTATACCAATGGTATCATTAGAATGTCAATACTGGATCTGGCGTAGTTCAGTTGGAGCAATTGCTCCCTAGGAAGTGGCACTCATAAATGTCCCTTGAAGTACCCACTTTAAGTCCAAAATCCTTTCCAACAATATTTTCTTCTTCCCTCCTTACTAAAAAAGATTAAGAAGGCATTTGGGGTTTTCCTGGATATATGTCTTAGGCATCTGGGGTTTTCCTGAATTTGCATATCTGGACTGATGCAATGGAAACTAGCTAAGTTTATTGTGGCCACCTAGTGTGTGTTGACCCAGATTGCCTCACAAAACCCTGACTCTGGAGCACTGTATCACATCCTCTGGACTCTATATGGATAGTGCAGAGAATCACAGAACAACTGGTCTGCTAGGGGGTCAGCAGAGCAGCACCCCCGCCACATATGTGTGTCCACCTCCAACTCTGTTACCAACTAAATACGTATTTGTTTGCTCATTGTCTGTGTGAATGGGAGAGACAGACTGCTCTAGTTATTGATCCAAGAAATAGCACTGAAACTCCATATATGGGAAAAATGTGAAGTTATTCTGGAAAAAGTGCTTCGGGGGAAATTTTGGAGCTGAAGTCCAGGGCAACATTCCTAAATATTTTCAGGCAGAGAATTAGGGATTATTTACTGCAGTTCACTGCTCAGGCATTTTCTTCATAATCTGTTACAATACAATGAGACCAAGAAGAGGGGAAAGACTGATATTAGAACAAAGAAAACATGCAGAAAAATACAGTATTTATTGTTTTTATTTCATGGCATTGGCAAGACAGCAAGTCACTTGGTTTTCATTTCATGGAAATACACAGAACTTTCCTTTCCAATTCATCACCTAAACTGAGAGAGAGAGCAAGGAACAAAGAGCGAGAGAGAGAGAGAGAGAGAGCAAAGAACTCAAAGCTGCATACAGACCTGCTTTTAGAATCATTTAACCCTTTTCACTTTCAGAGAGAGAGAGAGAGAAAGAGAGAATCCTTGAACTGTGGATGATCCTCATAAATCCATGATACACTCAATATCATAATAGCAAAATTCAAGTACACACAAGTCTAGAAATTCCAGTACACACCTTTGGTTTATTTGTATTTTTGAACCGTTTAGTCTGCTCCATTAACTCAGGCACATTTAGCTTATTTTGTTTTAATATTCCACTAATAATCATCCACTGGTTTGGGAGGGGAAATTACAGTGCTGTGGGCAGTGAGGAGAGAGGTGCCAGAGATTCCCAAACAAACAAGTATACAAAGAAACAAACTGCATTATCATATCTTCTCAGTTTGACAGATAATATGGACTGAGTTCCAGAGAAACGTCTTCCAATTCTTGTCACTGTCAGCAGTGTCTATGGTGACTGTTACACGTTGTCTGGGGACCTAAGAGACAGTTGAGTCTGTCCTCCCAAAACCAACCATTGAGACACAAGACACTGCACCCAGACAGACAAAGCACTCTCACAGAGAAATTCATCAGAGACACAGTGGAACATCCTGCAAATACAGACAGTGTACTCATCTATTACAGCTCCTATAGACCCACATACACACAACGTGTTCAACTGGACTTTCTCTGAAATAAGAAAGACTTGAGTTAATAAGACACGTCTCAGATAGGAGTAGACCTGAGAACAGAATATACGCTTCAAAAAGTGCTTGTGGGGCAGCACTGTGCAATGGTGGATAGAGTTCTGGACACGATGAGACCCTAAGAATTAGGGTCCTAATTGGTTTGTTGAGATACAGTATATCCACTATCTTCTCATTTGAATACAGTATAACAACCACATTATCAGCACAAATGTCTATCTTTTTTGGGGGATGATAATAGTTTTGAGGAATTACACTTCTGAGAACTGACATTGAACATCTGGACCCAATTGCATTCACCTCAGTTGACACATAACCCCATGTTACTGCCCTTAAAGGTATACGGTACCTCATATACACAATTAACAAAGAAGATGAAGCGCATAATCCTAATTCTTAAAGCGTTTTATTAGTCCATTGTTACAAATGGGAAAACATAGGCTGTGTGAGAGCTACATATTTACTGAGAATGAGGGAATGTTCTATAGCCGTAGCCTAGAGACAGTCCATGTTAGATGGCACTGTTGTAATCACACAATAAAATACTACTCAACATTTTCATACAACGGTGATAAGTGATACGTGCACTCTACATGACTGGCAGGGATAAAGGGGAAAAGCGAGGCTACTAAAGATGGGTTGTTATTCAGCACTGTGCGCTGAACTACATAATATCTTGATTGAATGGTTCTATTCACTACAACTGTCACCGTAGCTCCCGTCACCGTAGCTCCCGTCACCGTAGCTCCCGTCACCGTAGCTCCCGTCACCGTAGCTCCTAAGCCCTTTTCCTTAGCCTAAACACTGCTTTTCGTCACAGCAACAGACTCTTCCCTCACATGTTTTACAATCATGAGCCTTATAGTCAGAATCTTTTCCTTTCACATTCAACCCGCCTTACACCCAGTATTTTTTTGGTTTCCATCAATTCTTTCCGCCAATAGCACTTGTTTAAAGGTACTCTTAGTGCACTCACATCACATCAGAAATCAAACATGCATATGCATAAAAAATACTGGGTAGGTAGGATTGGTGAAGAGAGTGCTGGTCAGCGAGATAGAGAGACAGACATACTGTAGTATCAGAGAGAAAGATGCAATCTTGTTCACACACCAAAGCTGTCTGTGTCTAACGCTCTTCCTCTGTCTTGTTACCTATCTGTCTGTCCATCCGTCCGTCCGTCCGTCAGCCGTCTGTCTGTCTGTCTCGCTCTCTGACATACAGTCTCCCAAACAACAGGGGAACAAGTGACAGGCACATAGGCATTCATCCATCTATAGGACAGGATTAGCAGGAAGTAAAACCTGAATGAAACATCTCATACGTGCCAGATTTGACATACTCACATGTACATTTCAAAATGTAATTTCTTTCTACATTTGATATATAATATATCTATTACTCTTTACTACAGGGGATTATAATCCTAATTCATAATGAAACAACAATAAGAGTTATCACAAACGTCCTCCTCTTTTAACCTGGATTGTCATCTCCCTAAACTGTGCATCCGTGGACAAACAGTCCACCCAGATCAGTTGGATATTCCGGAAACATTCCAGAAGGTTGAGATGACAGAGCCCCTCCCCCCAGATGTCCAACCCAGGAAACAATTTCCGGTTACCTATGCATTCCAAGAACGTTACCTAAGGTAATAGAAACGTTCACTGTTTGCTGGTACTGCTCTCTTCTCATTCTAGACAAAACGTGGGAGGGGAAGTTACAAGCAGAGTGGACCGGGGCTCTTGCTCAGGTCAGGTGATCTAAGTGATCTGTCCCCTCCTCTCCTTCTTCCTCCTTCATCAGCTCAACCACTCCAGAAGAATGCTGCGATTGGCTGGAGCACGACAAGTGGGAGGACTGACTCTGTGTGTCTTCCTCCTCTAGCTCTGCCTTCCCCACCATCTTCCTAATTCCCTGTCCCTGTGTCTCCTCCCTCCGCTTTCCTTCCATCCTCTGCTCCTCCATTGTCCACATGCTATCCTCTATCTCGTCCTCCTTCCCCTGCACCTCCAGGTCAAAGTCCAGCAACTCTTCCATCATCTCCTCAATCTCTGTCTCTTCATCCATCTCCCCCTCCACCTCCGACCTCAGCTCATCCATGCTCTCTGTCCTGTTGATGTCATCCCTGTCATCGTCATCATCCCCCACCCTCCCCTCGGGCTCGCTGGCCTGGCTCTCACCAAACTCCAGGATGGTGGGCAGGTTGCCCTGCTTGGGGCAGCGCTTCCTCAGACTCACCAGGAAGGGCTGGGGCAGGGAGAAGATGTCTACGTTGTTGCCCAGGTCGATCCACGTGACACTGGGGAAGCTGGCCGGGTCCTTCAGACTGTCCGTCAGCTCCTTGAGGACGGCACGGGTCAGCCGGTTGCCATTGAGGGCCAGGGTCTCCAGGCGGGGCAGGGCGGCCAGCGTGGGCAGGAGGAGGAGGAAGGCGTCGTCGGTGAGCTCGGTGAAACCCAGCTCCAGGCTGCAGATGATGGGCGCGTGGCGTTGCAGGTAGACACACAGGCGCTCCATGTCACGCACCGTCAGGGGGATGCCCGACAGGTCCAGTGCCCCGTTAGGGGGAGGGGTCGACAGCATTACCTTGAGACTGGGAAGGTGGGGGGGGGGGGGGGGGGGGGGGGAGAAGTAATCAGTTACATGTCACGATGCGTGTGTTGACTCAATTGTAGGTAAATCTGTTGAATATCTCCAATTCAAAATGTGTATGCAAATTGTATTTTTCCCAAGCACGAAACATGGCAAAGGTCCATATATTATATAGTCAACAAAACTATAAGGGTGACGCATTGAGCTATCTCTGAGAGCAACATCCCCCTGACAGGAAGGATATTACACTACTAAGAGCCTGTGATGAGACAAGGCCAGCCATGACAGACAGCAGGAGCATGGAGCCCCAGGCATAGCGACAGGTAGGTAGACCAATTACATTACTATCTGTAATACTGTTGTTTTCACCATTTCCTGACACTTCATGTGCTGAGGAGCAGCGAAATGGGTTTTCCCGCTTACATGGAAAGGTTTGCACAGAGATAATCAGAGGAGGAGAGATGGGGAGAGAGAGAAAGAGAGAGAGAGATGTTTTAGTTTCTGCATAATTAGTAGTCTGCCAGTCTGTGTTGTGTTTCGGTTTGCAAATCTGTCCATATGATCCAAACAAACAAATACGATGAGAGTGAACTGAGGGAGATTTTCTGCCGACCTCATCGAAACAAACACAAGTGGCTCTCTGTGGCACAGCTGGAGTGTTCATGCGTTTTATCATAAGCTTGTGTCTTGATACTGTGGGTGACACCCAGGTGTGGAGTGTCTTTCAATTTGGTCATTATGAGTCATAATAACAACATCCAGCGATGTGAGTTTGAACGCTTTCGGAAGAGATACAGATGGATCTTTTTGCCATCAGTCAACAAGCAGTAAACAACGCAGTGCCTTGTGGTTAGAGTGTTTGCCCAGAGATTGGAAGGTTGGGAGTTCGATGCCCAGCCAAGTCATACCAAAGACTGTGAAAATGGGACCTGATGCGTCTCTGCTTGGCACTCAGCAATAGGGAGATAGATTGGGGGTAAGGCCCTGCGATAGACTAGTGCGCTGTCCAGAGGGATGTACTTGTACATCAAGCTGCCTCATGCTGCCTCATAGAAACAGGAGATAGGCTCCCACTGCTATGAGCTGTTCCAGCTTGCACAAGCCAAGGCTACTTACTTTACAACAAGCAGTAAAACACTGATTGGTAATGTTGTTTGCTCAGAACAATATCTGAGTAAGGTGTGTAAACCAACACTCTAAACCTAAAAATGACCACAGAATGAAATGAGAACTAGAAAGAAAGAAGTGCGTCCAGATAATCCAGACCTCTGGGGGTAGAAGAAGAAAAACAAATGTTCCAACGTAAAGATGTTAGACATGCGCTCACAACACATGCTAACTGCTAAAAATAACTGAACGAAGGCCTGCTCTGCATTTTATGACATAAAAAGGAAAAGTGAGATCAGACTTGAACGTCTTCCAGGTACAAATGAAAACAATACAATGCTTGTGAGGCACAATGAGGTCTGGACCCCAATTATTACTCAACATTCCCCCCAATTCGGAATTTACCGTAACAATAGTAAATCTCCCTCCCAATGGCTGTGTAGTGACAGGATGTGAGCCAAAGCAGAGACCCATTTATTAGTTGGTCCAGGCATAGAATTACTAGAAGGGACTAATCACAGAACATTGACCTGAACGTGAATGTCCGTTATATTTAAAATTATATGGGTCAAGCACTCCGCTCTAATCTGCCAACAACATTGCGACATGTGCAGTCCCACATTTGCTGCTAAATCAGTCCAGATTTTGTTTTGTTATTAATTACTATTAAAAAAAAGTTCCATAACTTCTCTCAAGCTAATTGCTTTTAATGGGAATTGGGTCAAAGCAAACAAATGGAATTACTCAAATGGGAAAATCCTTCAGACAGTGTACAATTGACAGTACGGTCATGCCTACACTCAATATGGCTGACGGCCCACCCAACACGGAATGTTGACTTAAATATCCGTTCTAGTAATTATTTGTCTATGGGTCGAAGTCAATGGTCCCTGGGTTATGACCTCATGATGAATCCCTGGCTCCCTTTCAGCATTCTCCCTGTGACAAATCTAAAAAGCAGAGCAGAATGTAAATAAAAACAGATGAAACGTCGTACAGGACATCAATCCCACACTATCAGCTTGGCTTCCGGCCAGAATCCCACGCTTTAGACTAGAGCAACGCTGAGCCGAGTTCTCTCCCTCTCAGACACAGGAGTCAGGACCTTATGGCTTAGATACTACATACCACATGGGACCGATCTAGAGTAGATTGACTAACAACATACATTAAAATCCCACGCTTTAGACTAGAGCAACGCTGAGCCGAGTTCTCTCCCTCTCAGACACAGGAGTCAGGACCTTAGGGCTTAGATCAAATCAAATCAAATGTTATTGGTCACATATTTAGCAGATGTTATTGCGGGTGTAGCGAAATGCTTGTACCACATACTACATGGCGACCGATCTAGAGTAGATCGACAAACAACATACATTAAAGCTAAGTTACACCCATTCGATAGGCAGTTTTATGTTAAAAGGATGTTTGGGGTGTGCAAAAGAACGACAGTACTTTAGGTTTTCCTCTTCTACTGAGTGTTATGACTAGCATGCTAACTGCTAGCTGTGATTAGCATGCAAACTGCTAGCTGTGATTAGCATGCTAACTGCTAGCTGTGATTAGCATGCAGAAAGCTAGCTGTGTTGGAACAGAGGCTCTTTGATGAGGCTCAATAAGGGGGACACCAGTGACTTGGCTGTGAGGTCATCATCATGCAGTACCATCGATTGTGGGTGAGACAAATATCAAGCCAAGGCCCTGGTGAGAGAGAGAGAGAGAGAGAGAGAGAAAGAGAGAGAGAGAGAGAGAGAGATAGGGAGAGGGGGGGGGCGATAGGGAGAGGGGGGGAGAGAGATAGGGAGAGGGGGGGAGAGAAGAGGGGGGAGAGAGAGAGCAAGAGAGAGAGGGGGGAGAGAGAGAGAGAGAGAGGGGGGGGGAGAGAGAGGGGGAGAGAGAGAGAGAGAGATAGGGAGAGAGGGGGGAGAGAGAGAGAAGAGGGGGACAAAGCCACATAAAAATAGAGTTAATGAATATTAATGCTGTAACCTCTTTTGCATATCATAACCATTGTAATGTGACCCTGTCTTTTGGCTCACATTGTGCATACCGGTCAAGTGAGAAGAGAATAGATTGAGGGAGAAAGGCAGTGAACAATGACTAACGGATGAGGAGTGAGAGTTGGAGACACACTGAACGCTCCTGCTGCTGCCCGAGCCCCCCCCAAAAAATATTATTAGACATAAAAGCCTGTAAAAACACCAGCAAATCAGTTCCAAGTTATTCCAATTTTGGAAATCTGTTCCAAAGTATTCCAACGCATAATACAGAGATATATATGTTCGTACACCAATTTATGCAAGGTTTGATGATTATGTTTTAGTCAAATGTTATATCTGTTTGGGCTTCTTGCTGTCAATTTGTAGTCTACAAATTATTTGTAATTATGTTCCAGCCCCCTAACCATCCATCCGCTCAAGAAAACAAGATGTCACAATGGACTTTGAGAGCTAAGTACTGTACAGATGAACACCCTGTTTCTGTAACCTACTTCATGATCGTCCTTCCTCAGTACGGTGTCTGTGTGTCTGTCTCAGGAGAAATGCGTTCTAGTTGTCAGTTTTACTGTTTGTCAGATCGAGTCGGATGTCGTTCATTATGGACTGGGTTTTGGCCTGGGTAAACAGTTGTACTGCATAGACAACTAAGGCCATCAGTATGTCATTTGAAAATGTTTTGAGAAGGTTATTGTGACAAGGGTTGCTAATTAGGAATACTCCTTGTCACGTAGTCTGAAGTAAGTACCTGGGTTCTATTGTAGAGTAAACTAGTGCATGTCAGTGCCTCCCGGGTCCTCCTAGACTCCGTAATTACAGAGGTAACTAGAGGAAACCTCTTCAATATCTCGATCTCACTGACTAACACTCACAGACACGGAGTGCTCTGCATATAATCAGACCTAGGCTGAAATACCATTTCAAATCTTTCAAATACTTTGACTGTTTGCTTTAGTCTGCCTGGAGTGACAGGGGGCGGGCTTTTGGGACTATTGGGACTATTCCATTGGCTCTATTGCACAAGGCAATCTCAAAGTGAGCCTAGCTAAATTATTTGAAATGATTGCAAATTGTATTTGAACCCAGGTCTGCATATAATGTGTTCTGTGGATCACTTTAGCTTTATCCCAGTGAATGTTATCTCCGTACCTCTGTCTTTGTGGTGGAGGTGTCGGGGCCCTTAAAGCCTTTTGCCATGGGTTTCATTAGCCGCTAGCTAATTAGCATGGGGGACAGGAGCACTGGAGGAAAGGGCTCATCTCCTCCTCCTCCTTCTCCTTCTCCTCTACTGTCTCATACACTCTGCCTCAGCCCTGGACTGGTCATGACTTCATCACGCACCGTGCACACACAAACACACGTATGGATGGACACACACATATGGACACATGCACAAAAACACACACACACACTCTACTTCTTCCAGGGGGAACTGCTTGACTGAGTTATACCAGCCCCTAAGCCCCATTTCCAGTTCAAGTGAGTCTTGGTTAAAATAAGTACTGGGAAACCTAATGAGTGAACTTCCCCTAGTTAGATACTGAACCGTAGTCTTGATATAGTTGGGCAGTGGCTGACTCAGCCTTAAACACGGAATATAATTTGTCCTGGAATGGATAAGGAATGTCAAAGTATAAAATGTTGAAAGAGGACTATAATGTATAGAAACGAGATGTGGCTTAGTTGGTAGACCATGGCGCTTGCAATTCCGACGGAGGACAGGAATGCAAAATTACAAAATGATATGCACTCACTACTGTAAGTCGCTCTGGATAAGAGCGTCTGCTAAATGACTAAAATGTCCTTAGACGTAGGGAAAGATACAAAAAAAGATACTAGCTGTTGTCTGATGAAGTTTGTTATAATTTAAAGGCTTTAAGCAGTCTATGC